TCTTGTTTTTTTTTTTTTTCAAGAAGACAGGATTTTAGTAAGCTGTTGGTAGCATCAAAAGTATTGAAGATTACCTGAAACGTATAGAAAGCGACGTACACCTGTAAAAGTTAGATGTGCAACAAAAGCATAGTTTGGCATAAGTTAACAGAGATATTATCAAAAAAAAATGATCTGAACGATAAAATGAAACTGTATAAAATTGTATAAGATCCTAACGAAAAGCGAATATACGAAGTAAACGAAAAAGAAATAACCATCTGCAATTATGCTAATATTTCAATGCTTATAATTGTTATTATATGAGGTAAAGATTGACGAAAAAGAAGAGAAGGAAAAAAGGGAAGAAAAAAAGCGAGAAAACTTCCACGACATTGCAACAAAAATAAAAGCCGAATAAAAAAAAAAAAGCAAAACAAAAAGGTCAAAAAACAGATATAGAAGAAAATTGATGAGCAGAATTGATTTTTAAATTTATTTTTAATTTGGAAAATATAACAATTTTGTCAGTGTCTTCGTTTTGACGTCTCCAAATTTTATTTATTTATTTATTTGTTTTTTTTTGGTATCAGTTACTTCTTTTATTTATCAACAAGTATCCATCGACTGTAAACTACGGTTACAGTAAGGATAATAATCAAAACAAAAAAAAAAAATGAAGAGGAAGGAACGGAGGTAACGAGGGTGACTACTCAAAGGAATAAGTTCAAATAACTGCCAATGAAAATTGTGTAAGATTCATGAACAACTTGGACAACCAAATGCAGTAGGAAGAGATTCTGAAAAGAGCAACAACAGCAAAAGCAAAGCAAAAAACGAGAAGTAGTGGGGTTAGATGGCAAAAACTTGGAAAACGGACACATTAATCCGAAGAAAAGTCATAACCAATTAACAGGCAAACATATTTAACTAATAACAATCAACGGCAATTGTAGATGACAGATTTTGCTCCCTCTCCCACCTCTATCGCTTTTTTCTCTCTTTCTCTCTCCTTCTCCCCCTCACCCTCTCTCTCTCCCTGTCCTCGACTCTGTTTCTTCCCCTTCTGGTCGTAGAACGGTGATGATCGTCGTCATCATTGTCATCGTCATCATCTTCACCCATCGTCGTCATACCATCACCAACACCATCACTGTCATCGTCATCGTCACCATCGTCATTATTATCATCGTTATAACGGGCATATTTAAAAAATTAATATTAATTTTACAATTATTCTTTCTCTCCCGCAAACTATTCTATTCAGTACTTTATTATATCCAACAATAAAGTGGATAAGACGAGGAATAAAAAAACGTTATAATAATGATAATAACAAAATTGAATAACAATAGTAGTACTAATAAAAACAATAAACAATAACAGTATCAGTAATAAAGACAACAGCTAATTGTATTTTTAATATCCGTAAATTTTGGTACAAAAAGGTTGCACCAATTCAGCAGCAGCAATTATTTCTGCATTAAAATAAAATCACTTAAAAAAATTTAGGAAAAATAAATTTGAAAAAAAAAAAGTTTAACATTAATAACAATAAAAGAGAAAAAAAAAGTTTTCTTTTTTTTTTTTATCTTTTATCTAAAGACTACATTACCAACAACGAAAAAAAAAGACATCCCTACATTTTTTTTTGTCGTTACTTTTTTTTTACAGTTATTGTCATCACTTTTAGATTATTTGGTTGATATGCATTATTGTTTTACCCAAATATCTGTAATATTATTTATCATTAACAGTATAAGTAACTCGGCAAACAGAATGAAATGAATAAGCATTAATGAGAGTAAATGTTTGAACAAATGCGTGAGCTAATTTGATTGAATAAATGAATAAAAGTGAATGGATGAATGAATGTTGAGTAAAAGTGAAATTATACAGATAACCGACTTGTTTGGGTAAAAATTTCAGATATGGGTTAAGCAAAAATTATCATTTAAAAATCAGCAGAAACATCTGTGAGTAGTGCAATTACTGATAGTGATCAGGTGAAATTCTGGAATCAACGTTTTTTTCTTTTTTCTTACGTTTAGACCTTTTTCTTGCAACTATTTTTTTCTTCTAAATCACCAACAATTTTTAGTGGGAAAGTTTTTGATTTTTTCTTCCAGAAAATAAATTTAAAAAGTTTATCTTTTTAGTTTAATTTCTTCCTGATATGCATATGTAAAACAAACAGTGTTGGTGAAAATTGTTGGCATCTAATTTTTAATATGATATTTATCAATGTTACTGTCAGTTGGTTGCAATAAACCAAAAATTTTTTGATTCTATCAAATCGAAAACAACCAACCAACAATAAAACAAACATCGAATCCTGTATTTTTTCCTTCTCTACTAACAGATTATCCACAAATTTTGGCTGGGTTTGATAAACAGTTTTTACAAAAATTTTGGTCTGTTTATTCAACTTGTCCGGTCAAACAAATTGTCCCGAACAAAAGAAAAACAACAACTTTTGACTGGTTATTTAACTATGATATAATGTCCAACAGAGAGCCTACAAAAACTGTAATAGTCTTCTTTGCAGACAGACGGAACCATAAAGTTTTGTTCGGCTTTTTTTGGGGGGAAGGGGAGGAAAACAATAATAGAACAGTTGTCAAATGTATAGTGACAAAAACACAGTTTAGTCAGTAATCATTAAAATTTTATTTATATTGATGTGACATTTTTTTCCGACCTTAGAAAAAACTGAAACAACAAGAGAAAAAAACGAGACAGAAAACCGGCAAAAACAGATTCTTCCTGTATAATCCAAACGGCCAGCGGTCAATTTCGCCGATGATTAAAGTGTCCGTCCTATCGATATTTCATTTGTGGTCCACAAAATAGCTTATCAAAACCGGATTGTTGACGGTCTATTTCAGGATTCTGTTGCTGCTGCTGCTGCCGTTTTTTCTCCTGTATTTTTAACACTGCCGTAGTGGACAACAACAGAGATACTGAAAACGTCTCTATAGGACCGTCATTAACAATCGAACAAAAGCTTACAAATATTTCTGTGACAAATTTTAAATAATTATTAAAAATACAGAGATTGTTGTTGTAAAAGAAATGTGTTCCTTTTTTTTTCTTTCGGAAAAACCACTCCAGAAAAAAAGTTAACAACGTATTAACAGTTTTTTTTGTTATGAAAAAATGTTGAATGGGTCTTGTTACCAAAAAAGAAAAAAGAAGACAAAAGAAGAAAGAAGAGTACCAATTATCTAAATGATCTTCGAACAATACTCATCGTTTTCTCCTTTTTTTTTCAATGTTACAAAAGCAGGTAAAAAAGCTTGTTTTAATTTGTAAATAAAAGACAGAAAAAATTTGGATAACCCAAATTTCTATTTATTTTTACATAATTTTCTTCCTTACTGAATTAACTGTATTTTCCATTTTATTGCTTCTTTCCCGTTTTTTTTTTTTGAGAAGAGAGAGAAGCGTAATTTAGCAATACAGCTGTACCAAATGAGGAAAAGTCTGCCACAGATTAATATGTTAAAAACGATTTTTATGTTTAATTTATTGAATGTATAGCTTTGTTGTCTGACATCACTGACGACAGCGGTAACGACAGATACAGACCATTACGATTTTAATTAGTCAACATTTTCATGTCACTTGAAAATTGTAAGCCAATTGCAAAAAGAAGTTAAGAAAAAGAAAGAAAAAATACATATTAATTTTAAGGCCGTATTGGTTATTGTCCAAAAGAATGTAAATTGTAAATTTTGATGAGTCTAATTGTTCAACTGAATTCCGCTTCACTCATTCGGTCATAATTCAGACAGCTCTTATTGTTTGTAGTTTATTGAGCTTAACAATTCACAAAGTATATCATCAGCTGGTCTACCTCAACTGAAATCAAGTACTTTTGGTTGTTAAACATTTGAACAAGTCCAGAACGTTATTTTCAACTTTTCAATTTCACATTTCTGGTGTTCAGAGTCATCAACTTCACTTAAGCATATTTTTTGCTGCAACTTATCATCAACCGCCGCTTCAATTGGATTCTATTCATTCATCATTATATGCATCTTCTCCAAATGTACTTCTAAACCATTTTCTTTACACAATTTCCATATAAGGATTAGATGATATGGAAACAAAGACACAAAGAAATGCTTCCCACATTCACCCTTCAGAACCGTAGTAAACTGTCGTCTTTTAACAAACACTGATATATTTATTATTTTTTGAACATAAATAATTGCCCATTATTCAGCAATAAGTTTTTTTCTTTAAAAAAAATCTGCAATAAAAACAAATTAAATTGCCTTTGATATTTGAACAAGTGGACAACTATAACTTGAACAAATTTTTTTTTTTCTGGATCCTGGACTTATGCGTAAATCCAGTTAAAGTCTGTAATGCGATTAGCATCCAGAATACTGTTGCAGTTTGTTTTATTGAATCAACAAATTGCAATAATAACAAATTAGCAAATGCTATTAATTGGTATCTATTTGATGACTTTATTAACCGAACTTAATCAAGAAAAAAACTAACATTTTGGTGGACAATTTAAAGTGCAATTAGGAGGAGTATTAAATGATGTTCAAATGTTGTTGCCTTCAAACTGTTGTCAAATCACCAAAAAATAATAGAAACTGAATTATAGAAATATCCTAAACAATGATCGCAATCATTAATCAAAACCTGTAGAGGACAACTATCAAATTGGTGAAGCTTCAAAATAAATGACTAAAATTAAAGCAGAAAATGATGGTACTTTTTTCTCTTGCCTCTCCTCTCCCAAATAAATTGCATACAACCAGAAAAAAACAAAAAACCTTCAGTTTTGCTCTTTTTTTTTGCACAACTTTCATCAGGTTTGTATTGCTAATTGTTGTAACAACTGAAGAACAATTAACCTCGCTAAATCATTGTCGACTGACAATACTTCGCTGATGTGTTTGCTAAAGTTCCTTTTGTCGAGTATGGCAGCAGCGTGCAAATGTACAGCAGAAACCAACTATCTTTGAGGGTAGTTGTTTTACAAGAACAAAATTGGGTCATGCTATACAACCTAGATAAATAAATAGACTAAATTAAGCTGCGTAAATATTATATCAACAGCGATGAACAAACTTACCAGGTATCTAAAGAAAAAACTTTATTTTACATATCGCTTATTATAAGACGTCAACACAGTGACAAATATACATAGTTTATAAACCCTCAAATCATTTATGTTTCAATTACTTCCCTGTTAACTTTTCCTTTCCAAAGGTTTTTTTAATGTTCTTTTTGTGACATTATTTTATAAACTTTTTACAAATACTGTCAAATTGTCAATTGAAGATATTAGAAAAATGGCAAAAAAAAACCTCATCTGCAACCGACAAATGAATATCCGCAAATATTAAAGCAAATGAAGACTGCTGACAAAGAAACTTAATTAACTAACACAAAATCTGCAACAGAAATAATGATAACTGTAGCAATAATAGTCATAATAATAGTCAATAATAATAATAATAATAATAATAATAATAGTAATAATAATAATAATAATAATACATAAAAGACATTCAATTAAAGCATGTTAAGTCCCTGACCATTACAAAACAGTAATTTTATTAAGAAAAAAAAAACAAACAGAACAAAAAAACTTCATAATAGCACGACTTCATGAACTACTTTCAAAAAAAGAAAAAAACCAAGCAGAGCTTTCAAAAAATTTCATATTTATGTTCGTTTAAAATTTTTTAATAACTAATGTAAAGCTAAAAATGAAAACAAAGTAAAACAAAAAAGCATAAAGAAAAAAACAATTATGAAGAAAAAAACAAAGTAATGAAAAAAATGAAAATTAAGATCAAAAACTTAGAATGAAAAAAAAAATAAAGCTCTTATGAAAGCGCATAATAAAATACCACTAAAATAAGTTCAACTCAAAGAAATCACGTTTAAAGATCGTAAAATATTCAATTTGACTGCCTTATAAAGCGCTGAATAATATCAGAGAGAATAATATGCAAATTAAACGACCAAACGAAAGCCATCCATCACAGAAGAGTATTGACTGCTAACTGGGCCAACATCATTCCCACCACATCTCATTGAGCCAAATTCATTTGAATACCAACCAAGCAACCAATTCAAAGTTATTTCCACTGAATAACACAACAACATCATCTGAAACAACATAACTATCAGCTTGTTGGCGATACCGTATCCGTCGGATTCTCTTGCTTTGGAACCACAGCACCGTCACATAGCGAAGCCACGTTACAAATCCCAGCTGGTGAACTCGGGAACAGTGCATTATTTGCAAACAACGGTTGAACAAGCCTATAAAACAACAACGACAACATCATTTTTAATTATCCATCTATAATAAACCAACAATAATTGTATTGACTTTTTACAGCTTTATTATTACAAATAATCATATATTTTTGCTGCTTGTAAAATAATTAATTTTACAAAAATCAGAATATAAAGAAAATTTAAAAAAAAACTAATAACCTCGAGAATTGTTTCGACCAACAACTATTGATATTTTGCCTGCAACAGTATAATATGCAACAACTAAACATTTGTAAATAAAATTTTGAAAATACCTTTTAAAGTCGAGCAATTTATTGAAAAAAAGTTGGGAAGAAAAAAGCAAGAAACTTCTAAAATGTCTGTATAGTTTGTTTTACCCAGGTGAATAAAGTTTAGGTACTAATGACGATCTCCATGCTTCATAATAATATGGATTTAGCATATATGCGGTCATCTGATGATCGACAAATGGCCAATGTAAAGTTGCCATCTTTTGACGCTTGTCTTTCATTCGACGATTCTGGAACCATACCTACAATATAATCAATAATTAGCTTTCTCATAATATTCATCTTTCAATAAGTTTATTATCCATTAAACTTCTTGAAACAAGTAACAGCAGGTGTACCTGCAATCAGTGAACAGATCTACCGTATCAGTCTACAAGAATTGTTTTATAAAATGTTTCGATCGACATAAAAACATCTATAGTGCATTATTATAGCAATGTGTTTCCAATTCTTTTTTTTCTTTAAGATGATTGTGAAAAATTGCTCAATTATCAAAAACAAAAAAAAATTGAAAAAAAACTTAAAGCTATGCGATATGGGCACTAATTTGTCTTAGTAATAACAAGATGTAAGGCTGTAACATCGAAAAAAAACTAGATGCTCAGAAAGGATTGCACAATTTTTTTAAAGGGTTTATTCTAACATCTATAAAATTGCTGTTTCTTGTGGATAAATGCTGCATCCTAGGACCTGTACAATTTCATTGCAATAATATTCCTTAGCTGAAATGAAGATGAAATAAAACGTATGAGAAAAAGTTTAATCCTCAAAACATTAGTGACTACAAAAATTCAACCAAGAGATTAGTTAAGCAACAAATTTGTCTAATTAAAACAAATAAAATAACAAAATTTTTGCCTGTTTCTTGATTACTTCAGTAGGACATATATGTCAGCTAAAGAATTTGTTCATATACTTTGAAAATTTTTTTTTTCTTAAACAGCAATCTGAAAATGGATTGGTGCTGGATGAATGCTGCTGGGTGTCATATCGTTTATGCACTGCCAAATATTTAAATCATTATTTGTGCTACAAACATCATGACTCTTTGCTCAAACAAAATAATTCCCAGCTGGGAATTTTGAACTACGGTAATATATGTTTAACTCTTCTAAATGATTTTTACTTCTGTCGCTTTAAGATCAACAACAAAAACCCAGTTCAAACTAAACACTTTCAAGTCCCAAATCGAGTTGAAAAGTCATGAGAGAGTGTAATCAAGCTATAAGTGCTGCCAACACTCAGTTTTCTTTCATCTTCTTCAAAACAACAACAGTAGCAGTAAAAGACAAGAAAAATAGTTCTAAAAACAACAATCTCTTGATGTTAGCAAAAAAAATTTTTTTCAGCTAAAATCTACCCTTTTTTTCCTTTTTGTTATCCCCTAAACAAATCTCTGCTTCATCTAATAAATACTTTAGTTTTCTTGTTTTATTTTATCAAAAAGTAACTGTAAGTTCTTTGACAAATATAAATTAGTAAAGCAAAAAAACGGCAAAATTTTTATATCGCTAACTGAGCTTAAATTTTTGTCTTTAAGCATGAGACCCAAGCCCAAAGTGAGAAGTAACTGTGTGTTGATGATGATAAGTCGTCAACAAAGCTTCTTTGGTTGTTTCAGCTGCGCTCACTTAAAAACAACTGTTTCTTTCAGTGGCGATCCCTACCGCCAATGACAGCCAACAAAAACACTGCATAAAAATGACAATCAAAAATCTGATATTCAGATAGAAATCTGACATGACTAAAAATCGCTAATTTAAATCTGCAAAACGATTTGTGAAATGAACAAATTTTCTCCGCTTTCACTACAATTTTTACACCGATTCCTTAACTTCAGTGCAATATTTGCAGTTGCTTCTCGTTTGATATACCGCTTACAAACTAGCTTACTGAGTTTCAAATTCCTTCAATAACTGAAGGCTAAAATGTTTTGAAAAATTATAATTTTTCTCACTTTGATTGTCCCTTCTGGCAGATTAAGTTGTGCTGCAAGTTCACATCTTTTTGGTCTTGAAACATAATTTTCCCTTGCAAATTCCTTTTCCAGACGGTTAATCTGTTCACGACTGAATGCTGTTCTGTAACGCCGTATTGATGTATCGTCTCGACATTCTACAAATCATGTAGTTTTAGTATTTTGCTTTCCATCTTCTTCATTCTCTGTACATTCTATTTTCAGTTAAACTTTCGTATTTGTCATCAGATCACTTAGGCTAAGCTATATGATCGTTTTTAGTTTTAATCAAGTTTCCTGTTTAAAATTATTAGCCTAAGTCATCAATAAAAAAAATAAAGGCATTCTAAAGAATACAGTAAAATATAGTTGGTTTTGATTCATTAAAACAAGAAAAGGCTATTTGAATCTGATATATTATTATAAAAACTATATGCAAATACGCAACTAGTTGTTTGTCTCAGATTATTTGTAAACGACAAGAAAAAAAAAAAAGAAAAGAAAGAACTATAAAAAACACAAAAAAACAAAAGCTTTTTATTACGAGAGGATAGAGTGTTGTAAGATTCAACAATAATAACAAAAAAAGAAGAAAAAAATATAAAGACAAAAAAAAGAAGGATATAATCATTGAACACATTTATCACCCAGATCAACACAATTGATATCAATTCTGAGGTTTCCTAAAGGATATGAAAAAGAAAAACCGCAATTTTGTCTATGCCTACAGAATGTATAGAAGAGCTGTCTGCCGGCATTTCAAGTACTGATGACGGACAACAACAACAACAGCCCCCACAAATTACAGATGAACCTTAAGAGAGACGGAGGCATACAGAGAGGCAATGAGTGTATGAATAATGAGAGGTGTAGAAGATAAGAGAAAACCAGTAAGACCAAATTCTCTTACTGTTGCTCTCTTTTTTTTTTTCTTATGATTACCGAAGAAGCCGTTTTGATGAAGTGAAATGATCACACAATTTTTACAAATAGGTAATCACCGAGAATTTATTGATTTTTATTGCTCTCTCTGTTTTAAGTCGGCATTCCGCCTTAGTCTTGAAACCATTTATCGGCAGCTTCTCATGCGTCCCATCACACACACAAACACACATACACACACACACAGCGAAGAACTTCCGTCTAACGACGATTACGGTAGCAGCCATTTATTCCTTCTATAATAATCAGTTTTTTTTTGGCCTTCCTTTTTGATCCATATAAATTTTTTTTTCGTTTTTTTTACTGTAAACCGTCTAAAAAAACAAACATAGACAAATAACAATTAGATAAAATCCGCAAAAACATTTATGGCAACAGGTAATTGAAAAAAAAAGTACAGAAAAGTTTTTATGTCATCCAAACAATAGTACATTTTTCATCTACTGACAATTACAAATAAAAATTATACCCAAATTATTTGTGTAAACCAAACAGCAAAAACAAAAACAAAATTGTACAAAATATATTAATTTTATTTCCTTTTCGCACTACAGTAATTGCATTTAATTAACCATCATATAGATCATAGTAAACCATAGCATATTTTTATTCTCTATTTAAATCCATTTATGTATTTATTTACTTATTTCATTGTCATTTTTCTTTTATTTCTCTATCTCATCAAAAATTAAAGCTTAGTTCAGGGTTTTTCTAGGTTTCAAAACAGAATTTAAAAAAAGCTTTGCTAACTTTCATGACAACCAAAATAATCACATTCCTTCAAACATTTAACATGATTCATAAATTGTATTCTGTTACACCGGTAAAGTTCCCTCTAAGGAAGAAATGTTTAAAACTTTTTGCATCTCCTTTTCCCCAATAAAACACAGTTTGATTATTAATGCAATTTAATGAAAAGTTCATCATAAAAAAAAGACTAGTAAATCGCTTTTTTTGCTGTGTTTTTTTCTTCTTTAACCGTAATTAAATGTCATCATAAAATTTATATTGTTGTAAAAATTTTAATTTTTCTATTAAGACTAAAAAAAGTGAAAAACTGAAGAAAAAAAGAAAAAACCAAAAGACCTCTCTTTTACAGTATCGGCGGCAATAGCAAAAGCATGCATGAGCACATCCGCACACACTTACATGCACACGAAGAATGATATGCAACTTAATCGGTTGTCGATTGATCAGCAAAAAAAAGTATGCTGTAACTTAACCGTCAATACTTATGCAGTTCTGTTTGCCATCTAACTATTCTTACTCCGGTAAATGTTCCGGTCAATCAGTCCAGTCTACTTCTTCGCACCCATACTTTTATCAGTTAAAGAAACAGCACAACTGATGAACCATTATACAGTTGCTCCTGTTGCATGACGGATTATCCAAGCATAATTTATGTATATACATATTTTTTCTACAACTAACCAAAAACTCAATTTTTGTTAATAAAGCTCAGCTGAATTTGATAAAAAAAAAAAAAAAAAAAAAAAAAAAAAAAAAA